ACACGTCTATCCCACCTGGATGAATGAAAGGACTCTGGCTTTCTTGTTTACCCCATATCTTTATTACTCAAAGCAACGCCTGACACACACTGAATAAGTAACTGTCCAGTGAATGATTCTGCACCTACATTTGTTCATTCATTTATTCCTTGAACAAAGACTTACTGATGCTCTTTATGTACCTGGCAGGGATGAGTGAAGATCTCTGCCTCTTATATTCTAGCAGGGGCAAGAGACAGCAAGCATAATAAAAAGGCAATTTAGACAAAATAGTACAATAGGACAGGTACTGTGGAGAAAAAAAGAATGTAGAGCAGCAAAGAAGTACGAAGGCTAAGCAGCTGGCAAGAGGAGGTAGTTGAAGGCTAAAGGGAAAGGGGACTTTTAAAAGAGCATTAAAGAAAAAATGGAAATAGACTTTGCAAATGTGAAGGGGAACTCTGGGATTTGCAGGGACCAGGGAGCTCTGGGAGGGTGTGTTACTCAATGCTGACTAGAGGCAGATGTAGAAGAGTGCAAGACCTCTGTCTGAGGAATCCAGCCCAGGGCCTGGATACCATGATAATGTCCCATGCAAGTCTGCACCAGGAAGTGAGAAATTGTCCATTGCAAACTAGAGAGCCTGCACGGGCAGAGTGAAAGGCTGGCCCTGGAAGCTGAAGTCTCCATGCCGGGTACCAGGACACAATGCCCCAGGAAAAGATGAAAACCAGGGCTCCCAGTCACGTGTCTGTGTCAGAGGCCAAAAGACTGTGCTCGAGACTAAAATGAGGACCACCGCTCCTCCCAAGAGAACAACAGCCATCCTCAGATGAAGAGAACAGCCCAAGCTTGGGAGGTGAGGGGTTCAGCATAAAACCCTCCTCTCCTGTTCTCCTTTTGTGCTGTTCCCCAGAACCACTCTAACTCAATTCATCTGGGCATTCCCACTGAAGCTGACCATTAATTAACCACCACAGAGGGGAAGGGGACAAAAAAGTTAGAATTAAGACATACTATGTACGTGTGCAACCTCCCCAACACAAATGTATTCATTATGAATTACAAAAGTGTTCTGATTTTTAAAAAATTAAAAAGGTTATGTACAGCTTCCTGAGAAGAACAAATTTGAAGATAAATTTGGAAAAGAGTAAGTTCTTCAGGCAGAATCATTCAAAGCCAAGGGCTTGCTATGTATTAGTTTTTTTCTAGGTACTGAGGATCTCATAGTTAGCGAGAAAGATGGAGCCCTTGTTCCCATGAAGAAGTCAACAAGGAAAAAGAGATAATCATTTTAGATGGCAATAATCTCTCTGAAGGATATCATCATGGTACCAGGATAAGAAAGGACTAAGGAGAGGGTTGTGGGTAGAGTTACTCTGAGTGGGGGACCTTTGCATTGAGCTCTGGTTTACAAAGTATTCAATCAGAAATACTGAGATGGGAATGAATTTGGCAAATCAATACCCTGAGAAAAGGTGTATTAGTCTGCTTCGTGTCACTATAACAAAGTACCTGAACGAGGCTAAAGTGAAGACGGGTTTATTTTGGCTTATGGTTCTAGAAGTTTAAGTCCAAGACAGGTTGGCCCCTTGGGTCTGGACCTCAGGCAAGAGTGGCACATTGTGATAGGAGCATGCACAGGAACAAATGTTCACACCTCAAGCCGAGAGGCAGAGTGAGGAAAGGGGAAGAGATCAGAGTCCTGCAGTGCCTTCCCGGAGCACATCCCCAGGGACCTAGGGACCTCCCAGTGAGCCCTGCCTCTTAAAGGCTAAGGTCTCAGCTTCTCTTGAGTGTGCCATGCTTGGAAGAAAGCTTTTACACATGGGCCTTTTAGGGACATTATTCAAACCATAGTAGGAAAAAGCTGTGGCTAGGGCAGAGTGAGAAAGGAAGAGAGGGCCCCAGTCAGGGAGTTAGACCACGAACAGTGTAACACGAAGAAACCTGACATGCCAAAAACCAACTCACAGGAAGACTTGGCAACAAAAGAAGGTCCAGGGTTTGCACACATTTAAAATTTGATTCTGCTCATCCCTGCGGGCAAGTGTCTGCCAACCTTTTCAGATCCATTAGCAAAAAAAGCTGAATCTGTACTCCAGCAAGGGTTTCTTGCAATAAGACCAAAAGAGCCCTGATTGGTTTATAGGCTATAGATGAATATGAAAAATATCCGAAGGAATTACTCTGAAATCATCACAATGATCTGTCTGGGTTCTAGAATTCATCTTCATCCTTATATATTTTTCTATTTTTTAATTGAATCCTTTGAACATGCTTAACCTAAGCTATTTTTCAGTGGTGGAGTTTCTCATTTCTCTTCGTATGTCCTCCCTTTGCCATCTCTCATCTCCGTGGGGGCTGCTGCCAACCACAGGTGTGTCTGTATCCCTCTCACACCTGTGCTGCCCTTTGTCAGGAAGTCATGACCCAATGTGACAACATTTCGAGAGGAAATGGAGCATCCTCCTTGGTACTTCCATTAAGGCTGGAAATCATCCTCCCTCTGGTGGTTTTTCAGGCGCAGAAGCACCTCAAGTTCACTTGGAATAGGATCCAATCTTTGAAATCCAAATCTTCCCTCATTTACAAAGTCAGCCTTGTAAGTGAGGAGTTTCTCAGTTCTGCTTGTCACTGAACGTCCTAAGAGCAAATTCACCTGCATCGAGGACATAATTTCACATATTTATTAGCGGGTTCCTCTGTCCCCACTCTATATGTGAGTGCACCACGGCCTGGGGAGTTTGAGTGATACACCAGGGTCTGCCCTGTTGGCCCCAAGTTTCTGAAGCAAGTGAGACTTGGAGCAAGGGATCACCCTGAGACCAGACGGAGGCAGCTGACTCTTGAGCTGTGTCTGGCTTTCAGTCTGAACTATTTCCTGGCAGAAACTGCCACTTTGCTATCAGAATAGTCAAGTGTAGTTAGAACAAGCTCATGGAACAAAGCAGTTTAATGAAAGAAAAAAAATTAGTTGAGTTTCAGTGCTATTCTCTTCAATTCAAGATGGAAATTAATTTATAATAACCTTATCTTTTATTCATGTCATGCTGCCTATTTCAGAGTATGTTGGCATTCTTGTATTTTTCAGCTGAATATGAAATAATTGTGTGTTTCTAATGGGCTGCAAGTCAGTCAAAGTGCTGAAAGAACATAGCTGATTCTCAGCTAACCATTCAGGGAAGACTGAAGCGCTGGGGAGTAGCTTTGGTTTCCTTTTGATGAGTCATGATATTTAAAATTCAGAGGGCTGCTGCAGGCTTCAAAGCCGCCTTTCAGATTGATCACTCCACCACCTAACTGCATTAGTGGCCGAGGACAAAGAAAGCTCATTCATTTTCTTCTAATGACCTCCTTCTCTTTTCGCAGACCAACCTGACAGAGCTGAAGTCATTCGGTTCCCCACCACTGGCTGTCAGCAATGTCAGTGCTGCAGTCATGGTGCTCATGGCCCCAGGGGGCAAGGTGCCCAAGGACCGGAGCTGGAAGGCTGCCAAGGTCACCATGGCCAAAGTGGACAGCTTCCTGGACTCCCTAATCAACTTCGACAAGGAGAACATTCCCGAGAGTTGCCTCAGAGCCATCAGGCCATACCTACAAGATCCTGAATTCAACCCTGAGTTCGTGGCCAGCAAGTCCTATGCAGCGGCAGGTCTCTGCTCTTGGGTTATAAACATTGTGAGATTCTACGAGGTGTTCTGTGACGTGGAACCCAAGCGCCAGGCATTGAGCAAAGCCACCTCAGACCTCACAGCTGCCCAGGAGAAGTTGGCAGCCATCAAAGCCAAGATCGCGGTGAGTGAGCCAAGAGACCCCTTCACACCAATGCAAACAACACAGCCCCTCACATACACATCACCTCTGGTTGTTATCCAGAATCAATGTCACAATATCTAAAGAGTGGTGGGAAAGCCACATTTTTATGCAAAATCTCCATTTTCAAAACAGATAATTTGTTCACGTTTGTTTCACTAACACCATAGAGGCTAAGCAAGAAAAATCCCCTGGGCCGATTGTAGGCCATTCTGGTCTGAAAAGTTTTTCTCTGCCTCCAAGGAAATAAAAAATGGCAGGAAGATACATATGATAGGAAAAAAATGTATCATCTGTGGAGCTAATTGCTTTCATGTGGAGCCAACTGTTTTCTTATAATCACAGTGCATTTAACATTTTGGCACATTTGATAGGAACAAATGACATTTTTAGATTCTCCCCCACCCCCTTGAAATGTAAGTTTTAGCTGCCTTACTTCGCCTTTTGTACCTAGCATCTTCCTTCAGTTTGGGGAAACTGTCTGCCTATCTGGCTGGCCCATGATAAAAGGAGCCAGAGGAACTCCCTGCAACCATCACAGTGGTCACAGTTGTTATCACCCTGACCTCTCTCCTCATTTTGCTGTGTGTACTATCACATATATACCTAACCGTGTGCACATCTCTTCACTGCCATGGTCAATCTAAACAACTACGGAGCTTCAACTTGGACACATGCATTCCAAGAAAATAAGATTCTTGCTACAAATTCATCACAATGATAAAGCGGGGCTTTATAAATTGGGAAAAATAGGGCTATAGACAGGCAGCATGCTTCATGTAACAGTTTTATTGATTATTATTTTAAGAATCTGTGTATTATACATAAAATCTGTGGCTAAAGCCTCTGGCACAAAGGTCCTTGCAACAAATAGCTCTATTAAAAAAAAAAAAAAAGATACTTTGCTGAAGCAACTAATCTCCTAGCAGTGTGCTTGCTTGCTTTCTGAATCCAGATGTTCAAGTATCATTTACTAAAACGTGGGATAATCTTCATAACTGGTCCCCTTCACAGAACACCAAATGTGAAACACCATAATCTGCCTATTCCAGCTTTTTGGAGGAAAGGCCTCCTGAGAATTTTCACTTTCTTCAGCCTCTCCCAGAAAAATGTAGGAAGAACTGAATTTTCAAAGACTCTTTACTCAAGTTATTTTAACTAAAGGAACATTTGGTGCAAAGAGAATGTTTTCAAAATGTTTATACCTTTTTAGTAGCCAACATTCACATGATGGGCCCACTCAACCTGTGAAAGCAATAAGAATATCTTAAAAATACTTGGCTACCTTAGGAAGGCTCTTCTTTTCTGCCAAAATATTTTCTGGAAAAATTTTTTTTAAAAACGCTCTTGCTTTTAACAACCTCCTCTTCGTTCTTTGCTTATACACATGCCTGTCAAAATCCTAAAAGTGTGGTTAATCCCTACTATTACCAGAGAAGGACCAACACCCAACCCTAATACAGAGACCCCACAGGGCAAGAGAATTCTTCCCCGCATGTTGCTGAGACCCTCACAGCTTTCTGCTCTCACACGCATGCTCACACTTGCCTTATTTTTAGGATTTTGGATACAATCCCAAGCAACAAATTTTATATTCAAGTTTGAAAAACTGAGGGCCATATAGCAAAACAGATTGCACAATGATTGATTATATAAAATGGAAATACATTAAAGTCCTAAGAGTGGTGATAATCTCTCAGTGGTGAACTGGATTTGGGGTGTTTTTTATTTATTGATCATCTATATTTTTTTCTCTGATGAGCACATACGAATATTATAATTTACAAAAATCATAATAATCAGACATTTTCATTGAGCCTACAACTATGCACAGGGTAAAATATCAAATTGTATTGGAGGGCTTCTAATGAGTACAGTCTCCTTTTAATTCTTTTTCTCTCCCTCATCCGATTATGGAGGCCACAAAAGAGCCTGCTTTGTACCTGTTTAACTTCTGTATTTAAGCCTTATAGTAAAGTAGTTATGGACGACTTAATCTGTTGCAAGTATTTAAAACATCAGGAGCATTAATGTTAAAGTGTGCTTTCTGACTAGTCTAAAACTATTCAGAGATTCCCAAGCATCATTCACTGACCCTGGTCTTAACTAGTGGCTTCAATCCCCAACCAGACAGTTTTGCTGCACTCTGCCATAAACCTTGCCAACTCCTGTTTTTACTAACACTAGGCTTATCTGACTGGTTTACATTATTTTCTTCTGCTCATTTGAATTTTTGACTCCTGTCCCTGTGCAGGACTGATATCTCTATTTCTTGATGTTTGTTCCTACAACAGCTGACTATCTGCTAGCCAGATGAGTCTAACTTCACAGTAGAGTTGTGACAGCTTGTTTTAGTTGCCTTCACTTCGTTTCTCATTCTAGCATACAGGCAGTTTTCTGTGAGCCCTCAGCTTTCAAAATAAAGCTATTTATTACCCTTACCTTCAGCTTTCTTTTCTTCCTTCTACCTCCCCACTTCTGCTTTCCTGACTTATTACTTCAGCTTTGTAATTGCCAAGACTGAAACATCTACATTGTGTTCTTAACCAAAATTAAGAGTCTCATGCTTTGTCCACATAGACTGATTCACAAAATTGGAAAATCAATAAACTCTATTTCTATTCTATAAACATATCTCTATTGTAAGCAGATGTAAGAGATACACCATAGTTACATTTTTTACAACCTCCTTCTCCCTGTGGAGTTTCTACCCTCTTTTTTTGTTTTGTTTTTTCTTATATTAGTTCCTTTTGTATAGCCTTCTTTATTTTTAAACTCTCCATCTAATCTAGTATTCTATCAAGTCTTTTTCTCTTCAGCCCTTTCTCCTTTGTCCCCATTTCAGAGCTCCAGTTAGTTTTTGAGACTAAGCAAGAGTTATTGCCTTTCTGAGTCAGTTTGAGTGACTTTTGGACCCCCGTGCCTGCTCTTTGCTTGGTTTCTTATTTTATTTTATTATGACTCATCCTCAAGTAGTTTTATCAAAAAACAAAAAAAGTTAAGAAGTAAATTTTATGTCTGGAAATGTCCTTATTTTATTCTTCATCTGATCCAAAAACATTTGCTAAGTATTGAATTCTAGTTTGCTAATCTTTCTCCTTGAAACACCCATGCTTTATGCTCCTATCTGATGAGAAGTCTAATGAACTATCATCATCGTGTTCCTTTGTGGATGTACTGATTTTTCTACCTTTCCAGCAAGCCTTTAACATTTCCTTTACTCTTGGTATCTAAAGTTTTCCATTCATGTGTTTAGCTGTTACTCTTTTTTTTTTTTTTTTTTTTTTTTTTTTTTTTTTGGGGGC